TAGCAGGCCTAGATATAAAAAGAAAGTATTGACGGAAAGGAGAAAGCTCCGTGATCCTGGCACTGTTTTTCTTTTCACGAAAGGCGCTGTACGAAGCATGCCATGGATGTTTGAAGCGTAGCCACTTCACAATGGTGAAAATTTCTTGAAAAGTTATTTTTTCCTACTTCCCCTCTTTGAAAGCTCTACTCTCAAAAAAGTTATGGGTGTTCAAGTGAATGGTACTTTTCGAGTGTTTGGCTTGAAACTGGCTCCGGGTCGTAAAATAGCTCGCTCAATTCCCTTGGAATTAGCGCTCTCCTCTGCACCACCGCGAAAAGAGAAACATTTCGTGAGAAACATTTTCATCCCGGTGCTATATTTTATGCATTTGCAATTAATTTGCTTTTGGAATTGTGAGTTGTGTCTTTGGTGTTTAACCAATGAAAGTACTCGCACGTGTAAGATTTATTACGACGTGTTCGTACCAAACCGTATACACCGACATAAATACACTAAAAAGTAGGCTTATATACAGGCGAATGTGGTGCTCAGGTATCGTACCGATGGCGGTACTTAAAATAAGAGTTGAAAGAGCGCACCGCGCCAACGGGAACATGTAGAGTATCTATACAATGACACACTTACGATACCGCTAGGTCATGCCTGCGGTACGATTTCAAGGGGTGCTTATCTTGGGAGTACCATTGAGTTGGCTAATATGTTATCATTCACTCTGATAGGCTGACTCTATAATATACTACTTGAAGGGTTGTGAATCCACAACACTGGGGCGGGGGCGAAATGAGCGGTAGCTCAGTATGATAATTCGAAAGAATAACATAACATCATGACGAAGTCAAATGCTGAAATTACAGTGTGCGCCAGGTACTCAAAAATAATCGCGGGATAAATAAGTGATGACATTCAGAATTACGGCACCTAATTGACCACAGTGTTTTCATATAAAGTTGTTCTTCATGGGCTAAAAACCCGACTGGAGTTAGACGTAGCAGATGATTCCCTTCGCCCTCGTTTGTTACGTTGACATCTGTGGTCACTGCCAGAATAGTTGCACCAGTCGTTGCTTCTGTGACGTTTCGTAATCGTGGCAGTGTCATAGGTAATCTTTGGCGGGATGTTGATGGAGGAGTAATCAGACACTACCAGGAAACAATGTGGAGGAGTAATCATCACTCCACATTGTTTCCTGGTAGTACTCGTCTTCTTCGTTTCTTTTCGACGTTCCCTTCGTAATGGTGGACTCTTCCTCTTCGTAGCGCGAGGATGTGCATTACACAGGTCCGAAATCGGCTTCGAGGTTGGACTTCTCTCATCAGCATCGCGCGATTGCCGAACCCAGCCAGCAGCACGAAGAATGAGAGACGGAGCCCGCCCTTCACTAATGGCTGCTTTGACTCCTGCTTGTTCCAGAAATCGTGTAGCCCAATATCGGTAGGAGTTAACATAAGTCCCGATGGAAGGACCATGGTAGGATTGTCATAGCAGATGACTTGGTGAAGCAAATCCTGTCCTATTCAATGGAGATTTTGTGCTTCTTGATGAACTGCTTATCGGAGTGTGATAGCTCAGCTGTCCATGTCGGACTTCTTAGAGTCACTCTTACTTCGTCCGAAACGAAGGTTTCTCGTAGCTCTCCCATTTCTATGGTAGTGAAGGTTGTGGAGCTCAGTGTGGGCAGCTGTAGTTGATCTGCGGATTCCGTCTATATGAAACTCATCTGGGCTCCTGAGTTGCGATGCTGATTGGCCGATATTCCATTACAGCTTCTCATTGAAAATCAGGAC